CCAGGCGAGGGATACACCACGGACGGGTGTTCTCACGGTCCCGTTCGCGCTCATATTTGGTGGGACTCCATGTAGAGTGGCCGTCCTGGCTCCTCCCTTCTGAGAGCTTCGCGTGACCACCGCGAGGCAGCAGGCATCCCACTTGGGCCTCCCCAGCAAGGGGCCGACCATGGGGTACTTCATGGATCGTTCGCGCCCATACTGGAGAGCCCCATGATCACAGCCACGTAGCAGGCATACATTCAATGTGGGCTTTCCCGGGACGGAGGCGACCAAGGGGTGTTGTCTCGGGCCCGTTCCCGCCCAGATTGATAGAACCTCTCATATTACATCTCACCTGTCCCTCCCTGAGGAGCCCCTGGAGGCCGAATTCGGTCCTGGATGCTCTCAAGAGGCTCCAGAAGGCCAGAGGAGGCGGGGACCAGGCAGCCCTAGAATGCCGAAAGAAGCCTGGGTGACCGAAAGATGCCCCAGGATGCTCTCGCTCGCTCGCAGATTCATTCATGCTTGGACCCACTCGTACACAGACCCACTCATACCCAATCGCTTCTACTCAGACTCGCTCGAACTCAGGTTCGCTGGTGCACAACCAGTCACGCCCCGACGCACTTACACTGAGACTCACTCGTGCCCAAACGCAATCATGCTAATGCGCACTATTACCCAATCGCTCAATTTTCATCCACTCAAACCCACGGGCACGATCACGGGCACGATTCACCCACACACGAACATTTACACGAAAACCCCTGGCACCTACACTCGCTCATGCGAAGACTCACCCATATGCAGAATTTCTCACCATAATATCCACTCAAAGTCAGCCGCTCAATCTCAGACTCACGCAAATTCAGACCTACATGTACTCAGACCCATCGCATTCTGAACACTACTTAGGCTCGTTCCAATGCTCGCTCGTTCTCCTTCATACTCAGGCGCACGCGCACTCAGACTCACTCAAACCGATATCCTCTCGTATTCAGACTCGCTCGTTCTCAACAACTCACGCCGAATCACTTACGCCCAGACTCACTCATGTTCAGGCCTACCCACGTGCAGACTCACTCACACTCAGACCCACTCCTACTCAGACCCACTCATTGTCACTGGTACTCAATACTTTTTATGCCCGGACAGAATCATACTCAGACTCAGCTTTCAAGACCCGGTCGCTCATATTCAGATTCGTTCAAAGTCAGTCCTCAGTCCCTCTGTCCCAATGCAACTCACATGCAGACTCACACACACATCAAAACACAGAGAGAGGACAACGCTAGAGAAGAGATAAGGATCTCCGCGTCGAACAGTTATCGTCCTCGTCCTCGTGTCCCCGTCAATGCCCTCCTCCTCTAGCTGGGGGAGCACTGTCGCACCAGAGGGGGGCGAGAACGAGAAGGAGGAGGACAAGGACGAGGAAAATGAGGAAGAAGAGAAGGAGAGGGAAGGAGGACGAGGCGGATGACGACGATAACAGCAACCAGTAGAGGAGGAGGAGGAGGAGGAGGAGGAGGAGGAGGAGGAGGAGGAGGAGGAGGAGGACCAGTGTAAACCCAAGGAGGAGGAGGAGGAGGAGGAACCATGTAAACCCAAGGAGTACCAACAATGTTGCAATACACCCTCCTCCCAAGATCCTTCCCCGTAGGTTCCTAGAAGTTCACATGGTGGGACATTCCCCATTGAAAGACAACCATCTGAGAATCCCCAACCGTGCCAAACCATAATGCCTGGGACTTCAGCGCCGCGAATCTACATGACTGTTGCATCCTGACAATCCTAAGCCATTCCAGAATGCCACTCCCAGAACTTCAACCCCGCGAGCCAACGTGACTGTTGCGCCCTGACAGTCCTGAACGGCGCCAGAATGTCATTCCTACACTTCCAATCATGAGGATCCTTGACGAGGTCGCAAACTTCCAAAACGAATATACGCGGCGCTGAAGCGAAAGCCGCAGTTCGGAAAGAGCCGCCCTCCGTCCTTGAAGTTGCTGCAGACTTCAATGATCCATGTACGCAGCGCTAACGTGAGAGGAGCCACATTTGAAGAGGACCTGCCCTAAATACCAACAGACTCTTAAGACGACTGTCCGCGGTGCTAAGGCGAGATCCGCCGTTTGAAAACCGCCCTCCGTCCTTGCAGCTGTTTGCAAAACGTTGAAGCGAAGATGCGCGGCGCCAAGGGGAGAACCACATTGTGAAAACCACCTGCCCTCCATCTGCAAAACTGTCACACATTTAGACCCTCAAGAAGAAGTCTCAGGCAGAACGCCGAGCACGCCCTTCCGACACGTCTGGGGATGCGACAGGGAGGAGTTCATCTACAAGAAAAATAATGGAAGAGGAGGGTGAGGAGGAGGATGAGGATGATGAGAATGACGCTGGTGATGATGCTGATGATGGTGATGTTGATGATGATGATGACGGTGATGATGATGCTGATGATGATGATGATGATGGTGATGATGATAATGCTGATGATGATGATGATGATGATGATGATGATGATGATGATGCTGATGCTGCTGCTGCTGCTGCTGCTATTGTTGTTATTGTTGATGATGCTGCTGCTGCTGATGATGATGAGGAGGAGGAGGAGGAGGAGGAGGAGGAGGAGGAGGAAGAGGATGATGCTGATGGGTTGAAACATGTGGGGCGCGGCTGCTGGAGCGCTCTCGGCGCTCCAGGACATGTCTGAGCGGTTCCTGGAGGCCCCTGAACATCTCCGGATGTTCCTGGAGGCCTCCCGGGAGGGAGGGGCGCGGGTGGAGGAGTGGAGGAGGAGGGACAACTTCCCCCTGGCTGGGAGTCGAAGCCTCCTCGCCCTGCTCTTCGGAAGCCTGGAGCACTCCGAGGACTCCTGCGAGGCTCTTCTTGCTTCAATGTGTTAGCCTTGGTGGTGAAGACTGGATTCGCCGTGGACGAGGCGAACCTCCCCCCGCAGAATGCAGAATACGATCGGCACCCCGGGCCCCTCGATGTGCGTCACGCGAGCTCCCTGTCCAGGACCGACCCCTCCTCCTAGAACGCGAGACGCGAGGGCGGGGTCTAGCCGACCCCGCGGGGATCTGGCCCGGAGGCCACTTCCCGATATCGAGCACGGAGTCTCCACTCTTCAGCGACCTCGGCCCGCAGAGAGACCCTGAGCAACCACGGCTGGCACACCGCTCGGCACGGCGCGGCGCCCCGCGATGCAGCACGGCACGGCGCCTCTCCGCCGCCAGAGCTCGCGGCAGCCCTCTGAGCTCGCCGCGGAACGGCACCGCGCGGCACCCACGCTGTGGCACGGCACACCCGCGCCGCCGGATCTCGATCCGCGTGTGTGCCAGGCACCTCAGTGCACCACGGCACGCGGACCAACCATTCGCAGAAGGCATCTATACACCACCACCGTGCCAAGGCAGGGCCATCCTGGGCCCCAGGATGGTGTATACGCCCCCCTGGCCGAGGCTAAGAGGGTCTATACACCATCCTGGGGCCCAGGATAACCCTGGCCTGGCACGGTGGTGGTGTATAGATGCCTTCGTCGGAAACCAACCACATCACGCTTCGGGGATGCGGGCGGGAGCTCTTGCTCAGCGCATCGAGGCCGCGGCCCCAGCGACGCGCTGTCCGCTGGGTGGGAGGCTGGGAGAGGCTCGGGACATTGACGCCTGGGGTTGAGTCGGGCCGCCCCTCTACGGGGGCCGATCCAGAAATGGTAAAACAACAGTCTGGGGATGATTTTTGGACTATGTTTGAATATTCAGGGGCATTTTGCTGTGTGACTATTCTGAACTCTTCGCCCAGAATCCCCCCTGTCGGGGGACAGGCGCGACCCAAGCCTGGGGACTGGGACGTGGATAGCGTTCCCCGCCGAGGCGTGGCGGGCCGGAGCTGGCGGCGCGACACGCCAGGCCAGAGCTCCTCACCGCATCCGTGCGCGCGGGGCATTACACTCTCGGCGCCGGCGCTGCTTGCAAGGGCGAGAGCGGGGAGCACGATGTTTGCCAGCCTGGAGCATAGCCCCATCCCTATGCTGGGCACCTCCTCATCACGATACCAATCTTAGGGAGTCCCTTCTTTTTGAGGGCGAATCCCTGAGATTGTCATCGCCTTTTGGCGTGTCAATCTTAGGGATAGGGATACGTTCGAGGCTGGTAAAATGTCTTTGGGCCCCTCCGGGGCCAACGTCGGCGCGTTCCCTCCAAAGCCCTGACCACGGCAAGACCTTATGAGAAGCAATCTTCAGCAAGCCTCTTACATCTAACCCACCAGCTTGCCGTGCGAATCCACTCGCGCTGCCCCCGAAACGGCGAGACTAAGGGGGCATGAGGACGAATGACGAGGAGGAGAGGCAGCACACGCCTATCGATTCACTGTGGCCCCCTCAATGCACCACAGCACGGCGCGCACGGCACCGCACGGCTCCCGTGCCCCCCCACCCCCCAAGATCGTGTTCTGAACCTCTCAAGGCCCTCTTCTAAATCTTGCAGGAGCCCTTGCACATCCCGCTGCTCGGGGGAGATCACCTCAACACTTTCGGTTCAAGGTTGTGGAGATCCGACCCCCCCCCGCGTCGAGCATTCATACTGGCAACTGGATCGAATCCACCCACTGCGTCATCCTGCCTCGATGCCACCCACTGCGTCATCCTGCCTCGATGCGCCATCCTCCTCCTCCTCCTCCTCCCTCCCTCCCTCCCTCCCTCCTGTTCGTCGTCCTCGTCCTCCGCCTCTGCCAGATACTGCACATGCTGCTCCTCTCATTCCTAGCTCACTGATGAAACTAAACAACGTATCATGCAAACTCAATGCAATGCTTTCCCCTTTTGCGCAACGGCTAACCTGTCATTTCAAATGCGTGGGAACACTTGGGTCGTCTCTTCCCGGGTTTGCGCTAATTCTATATACTTGTTTCCTGGGACCTCGAATTTTTCCAGAGCACCCGAACATCTGCGGCCGGAAGTGATGGTCGAAAACATTGGAAGTCAGGCAACACGAACTCAGCCTGGCAAGCGCGACAGCGATGGAGGCGGGGCGGCAGCAACGAGCGACGGGAGGCGAGAAGGGAGGTGAGCGGCAAAGGAGAGACTCCCCTCAGCGAGGTTGGGGGTGGTGGTATGCTACTCCAGATTTCGTAATAAAAGGGAGGGGGTCTGGACCCTCCAAGACAAGCCATTTCAGACCTCCCCCGTGGGAGAACCCTCCAAAACATCGTCCCCAGACCCCCCAGGCCCTCCAAGATAGCCTGGAAGAGACCCCCCCCCAGAAACGAGACCCCCCTCCCTTTATTACGAAATCTGGAGTAGTTTCTTGATTCGATGTGCCGGTGTCTTTGCGGGCAGCTGCACTCAGACGAGGCCGCGGCTGTCAGAGGTGGGCTCGGAAGCTCCGCGCTGGGCGGCAAACTTCAACCTTCCCGCGCGTGCGCGCATCCATGCAGGGCGCGCGCGCACGGCCGTCAGGGCGCGCAAGGGCACCGCAGTGGCGCGCGCTCGCGCGTGAGCGCATGCCGCGCTGACCCCGCGTCGCGGGCGTCTGAGTGCTCAGTTGCTGCCCGCCTGCCAGCAGCGGCCTGCGTCGCACTTGCCGTCCCTGGTTGGCAGCTCGGTTGTACTCCCGACGGCGATTGTTCCGCCCCCGCTTCGGAGTGAAGCGGCCCGTCTGGGCAACACCATCGAAGGTGCTAACCCTCGTCGCTCGTGCCAGCTGGATGCTGCAAGTGATCATCGAGGCTCTCGCGGGCGAGACGCGGGATCTTCTCCAACTTCTTCGCCTCGGATCGCAGATCCGCACTGCCGGTGCAGCCGCGAAGCTTCAAAATCACACGCTCCTCGCGCGCGGTGTGCGTTTCCCCCGCAGTCTGCGCCCGCGCGCGAGCCGCGACGACACCCCCAACTGCGCGCGCGCGTGAACGGAGCCGCCATCCACCAGCGGCCTGGCAGCGGGCGTGGCGGTCACGCAGCCGCTCGCCCCCGCCGCTGGCCTGTGCGGCAGAGCAGCAGGCAGGCAGCGGCGACGCCCGGCGCCCAGCCCTGTGCGCGGGCGTGCGCTGCCCCGCACCGGGGCGGCAGCCCCGCCAGGGCCGCGGCCGCGTGCGGCCCCGCGAGCCGAGCCGAGCGAAGCAGGGCCACGGCCGGGCCGCGCGCGCCCGCGGCGCCGAGCCCCGCGCGGCCCGCGCGGCCCGCCGGAGAAGAACGCGCCCGCGCGGCGGCGCGCGGGCCGCCGCGGGGCCGGCCGCGCGCCGCGTCGCGCGGCATCCCCTGAGCGGGGCGCCCCGCGGCGCGTTGTGCCACGGCCGCCGTGGCCGCGCCGGCGGCGGCCGTGGTACGCAGGGCGCGGGGGCCTCTGTCGAGGCACCACTGCGCCACGCTCGGGTGCAGCAGGCCTTCCAGCGCCTCCGCGTCCCCCGCCTGCAGCGCCTCTGGTGGGGTCCCAGAGCGGTGCGGCGACAGGCCGTGCGGCGGCCTCTGGGTCCCCAAAGGCCTCACCGCACGGTGCGTCGCCGCACTGCTTCGGGGCCCTGGGAGCCCGTCGCCCAAGGCATCCACGAAGAGCGACGCAACTCCCAAAACCGTGCGGTCACCCCGAATCCCCACTGACTCACCACACCAGGTGATCACCGCACCGTTGGGAGGCCCTCGAGCCTCGCGCGCCATCGACGACGAGATGTCCTGGACCGGAGGGAGGAGGACAAAGTTGCCGTGCTGGTACCAATCCGAGAACGGGCCCTTGCCGTCCGCCTCCATGGCCCTCAGCACGGCTTCCGTGCCGTTGTCCTGGCCGTGGTCCGCGGCCCTGCCAACGCAGGCGTACCTGCGACCCTCCCAGGCCCTGTTCCAGGTGCGCGAGCGCAGGGCGACGTCCGCGCCGTCCAACTCGAACCAGGTAACGTCGTGGCGCTCCCGGCAGTCTCCGAGGATCGGAGCAGGGCCCGTCGAGACAACGGAGGCTCTCTCGCATGGCCGAAGTCCGTTAAAATTGGTCCCCGGACCCCTCCCTGGAGCCCAGCCCGACCTTTCTCTGGAGGCGGATGCACTTGTGGCGACGAGGAGACCACATAAGGCACACGAAAGCACGACAACGGCTCGGAGGGCTGCCCTTGTCCCGACTGGCCCTCCGCCGCGAGGAACCTCTCGGCGCAGGACCAGACGTTGTCGCAGGACACGATCCAGTCGTCACCGGCGATGGCCATGTCCACCAGCAGGCGCCTGTCGCGCCTCAGCATGAACCAGGCGGACGACCGCCGGCTCGCGAGCTTGGCTCTCACGTGCTCGTCGTCGTTCAGACCTCGGCGGCACACGGGGCGGCGGGAGGGGGACGGCCCTCCGTGCAGCCGCGGGGGCTCCGCAAAAGGGCCCGAGGGCTTCTGACACATTCCACCCGTGTGATCAGGACGTACGAAGAGGATGCAAAGGCCTTGGAAGGCCATGTCGACACTTTGCGAGCGGGGCGCGGCCAGCGAAAGCAGCCCAAGATGGTCCGAAGGGGAAGGATGCAAGGGTAACCTTCGGAAACCGGTCATCCTTACTATGCGGTGCTGACTGTAAGAAACCAGCCTGCTGGCAGGCGCCCCTCGGACACTTCTTATTCCACGGTGGTCCTGGGGGCCTTCAGAAGCCCTGGGGCACCTTTGGGAAACCCTGGGCTCAACGAAGAGCATGCCCCTAGATATCTTACATCAAAGTCACACCAGCCCTTTAGGGCGTAGGTGGTCTAAAGTGTTTTGTCTTCTGCCCCTCTTCCCCTTCGGGGGGGGATGGGTTACCATTGTTCCTTATTGATATACATACGCCCCCTCCTCCACCCGGCCGGCGGCCAACCCGGAACCATGCCGACTCCATGCAGGCCCGCACCCCACCATCCCTGTCAAAAAACAATGCAAACCGCACTCTGCCTCCACATGTGGAGCATGCGCGGCCAACCCGATGCGGCCCCCTCCACCATCCCTGTCAACCACAACAATGCAACGTACACTTTGGGGCAAAGTCTTGAATCATGTTCGCGAGGCCCGCGAGCACTTTGGACTGTTTTTGGCAGGGACGGCGGGGGTGTCAGCATATTCCCTGCTGCGCGCAGGGCTACCATCCCTGGCAGACAACAACAATACAACATGCACCTCGCGGCAAAATCTGGATCATGCGCGGCCATCCCGCGATCACTGCCAAGTGGTTTTTGACAGGGGAAGGGGGTGGCGGCGCGTGGCTTGCTGGGCGCAGACCCACCAGACACAATGATGGGCATTGGCTTTCGAGAAGGATGGCGGGGGCCGACATGTTTCGCGATGTGTGCTGTCACGTGCGCAGGCGCACCTGACGCTGCACGTGCCGCGAACGTGGCGCACCTGGAGCACGTGGCTCATCTGGCGCACCAGGCATTCCTGGCACGCTCGGGCCCCAGGGGTGCCTGGCGCGCGTGGCGCCCCTGGCACGCGTGGCGCACCTCGCCCAAGCGTCGCGCACCTGAGGTCGGCGTAGGTTACCAGTAGCTGCCCATCCAAAGACGACCGCTGAACATGCTCAGGCTCGGGTGTTACTTATGTGTTGGGAGGGCGGGTGGGAGTGAGCTAGACGGCTTGCGGGCGGGTGGGTAGCTTGACCCCTCCCCCTGCCCTCTCCCCTGGACCTGGACGGGGCTGGTCGCGAGGTGTCAGAGCGTCCAAAACGACCTCGGCGAGGAAGCCACAATCGTTGGTTTACTACGGTTTGGGCCCCATTTTGGCCTCTTGGGGGGCCCCGCTAATTAAAGCTCCCCTCTTATTTGATCGATGCCCCCAAGATGGCCCAAAGATGGTCCCCAAGGGTCCCAAGAACGCTCCAAGAGAGCCCCAAGAGGTGCCCAGGAGGCCCCATGGGGCCCCCACGAGGCCCCCAGGTTTTGGCCACATGTTGGCCTCCTGGGGGGGGGGCACTGATTAAGATAGCTCGGAGAGCGCCTGGGAGAACCCAAGATGACATCCAAGATAGCTCAATAGATCCCAAAATGCCTCAAGATGGCTCCCAAGATGCTCCAAGAGGCCCCAAGACAGCTCCAAGACGGCTCCAAGTGGCCAAAGAGCTCCCCCAGGAGGCCCGGAAGAGGACACCATCCTTCCAATACCTTGGGAAAATCAATGTATTTTGGTTTCTCGCGATGGCTACAAGATGGACCAAGAGGGTCCAAGAGAGGCTCAAGAGAGCCCCAAGGCTCCCAAGAGCGCCTCAAGAGGGCCCCAAGAGGCGCCCAGGAGGCCCCAAGAGGCGCTCAAGAGGCCTCCAAGAGGCTCCCCCAAACGCTCCAAGAGGCCCCCCAAGAGGCTCCCCCAAACGCTCCAAGAGGCCCCCCGGACCGCCAAGAGGCCCCCAAGACGCAAGAGAGGCCCAAGAGAACCCCACGACGGCCCCAAGAGCGCCCAAGAGTGTCCCAAGAGCGCTCCAAGAGGGACCGTTCATCTGCGTGCTGCCCACTGCCCTGATCGAGGCAAAACCTCTGGGCATCGTCTCTGGATGGGCTGGTGGGGCTACTTTTTGATCGCGACCGCGGCGAGGCGGAGTCGGGCGGCGTTCAGGATATTGCACACAGGCAACGAACGGAGCCTCCACAGGAGGCCGCAAAGAAGCCAAATTCTTGCAAATTCCGACGGGGAATCAATGAATTGAGCCTTCTCGCCTTTTCGCTTCCGATGGCCTTCCGAGGCCTCCAGGCAGCTCCAAGAGGGCCCATGAGGGCCCCAAGGCAGGCCCCAGGGAGCCCCAAGACGGTCCCAAGAGCGCTCAAGAGCGCCCCAAAAGCGCTCCAAGAGGGGCCCAAGAGGTGATTTTTGGGGCTCCCGAAGGGGGAGGCGAATTGAAGCTCCCCCTTCTTTGATCGATCTCCTCCAAGACAGCCCCAAAGGGCGCCCAGGAGGCCCCAAAAGGCCCAAAGATGGCCCCAAGATGGCTCCCAGATGGCCCCAATAGGCCCCCAGGAGGCCCCCACGAGGACCCCAAGCGGCCCCAAGAGGCCCCCCGAGGCACCCAAGACGCCCAAGAGCCCCCCAGGACCGCCGAGAGATCCCAAGACGTCTCAAGTGGCCTCCAAGAAGCGCCCAAGAGATATCCCAAGAGGCTCCGAGAGGCATCCACGAGACCTCTCGCCCTTTTGCTTGCCCTCCTCCTCCTGCTCCTCCTTCCTCCTTCTCTTCCTCCTCCTCCTCCTCCTCGTCGTCCTCCTCCTCCTCCTCCTCCTCATCATCATCCTATTCGCTTTCCTTCTCCCCACTCCCTCATCCATCCATCCAGCCTCCTCCTCCTCCTCCTCCTCCCTCCTTCGCACGGTTCGGCCGTTCACCTCTTTGCTCCCGCACTTCCCTGATCACCTCGCCTGGACATCGTTTCTGGATGGGTTGGTGGGGATTTTTGATCGCGACCGCGGCGAAACAGGTCGGGCGGCGTCCAGGAGCGATGCACATGGGCAACGGCCTAAAGTCGGGCACAACGAGAAGAAAGGGCGAACAGAGACACAATACCTAGGTTTTTTGTTGTTGTTGTTGTTGTTGTTGTTGTTGTTGTTGTTGTTGTTGTTGTTGTTGTTGTTGTTGTTGTTGTTGTTGTTGTTTTTTTTCCCCCCCCCCCCCGCCCCGTCGCGGCCGCAAACGGAAGCGCAGGCGGCGTCCGAAGTCAGCACGGGCTACGAGGCAAACCTAATTGCCTAAACGCGCGAACTAACGGCCGCCGAAACCGCCGCCGAGGGACGCCGAGGAGCGACGCCGGGGGCTGAAGGCAGAGCTGCAAAAGGTGCCAGGTGTGCCAAGCGGCTGAGGCGCAACCATTCCAGGGGCGAGACCGCCGGGAAGGCAAACGAATTGCACCTTGTCGCGCCAGGCGCCAGAGGTCAACGAACCACCCGAGCAAACCACGGCATAGCGTGGGGCTGAGCAAGGCCCAGCGTACCTGTGTCGCGTGCCAACAGTGGCAACTTCAGGTGGTTGAGCAAGAAGGCTAAACCACTAATGAGTAATCCACGTGGCTGTGCATCCTACCATTGCAGGGCGCTGGTGGGAATATTTTTTTTGATTGCGGCCGCGCGACAACGATCTGGCGGCGAGAGCAATGTCTGGGGCAGCGGCACAGTGCGAATGCTGGTGGGGATATTTTTTTTGGTTCGCGGCTCCAAGGCAAAGGTCAGGGAGCGGACGCAGCGTCCGGGATGCGGCACGGAGCGAATTTGCGAACACAGCCGCCACTGTCGGCAGCTAGTTCGCACCTGCAAGACACGCTCGCAGTTGCACATGCACAGAACAAAATGAACTCAATTCGCAAGCAAACGCACAGCGGGGATATTTTTTTGTTCTGCGGCCCGCAAGGAAAAGTCCAGAGGGCGTGCCAATCAGGCAAACTGGGGCACAGAGCCCGATAATTCGTGCACGTGCAGAACAAATGGGGGAAAACGAGCAGACGAGCCGCGCGTGGCGACGTTGCACCAGCACAAGGACGCCAGGCGCCGAGTAGGGCGACGGAAAAACGGCGGGGGAGGAGGAGCGAGGCGACGGAAGAACGAAGCATGGGGGAAAAGCGGGTGGTTTCACTCACGGAGCACCATGTGCTCGCCGGCGAGTCGACACAGGTCCAATCACAGGTGGACACCACGTCAACGTGCCCAATGTCAGTCAGGTCGGCAACGCCGGGGGGAAACGTCGGCCAGGAGAAGCGTGAACCAGGCACAGTATGCACCACATGAACTGGCACAGCGGGGATATGCGAAGCGTCTCGAATTTCTGTTCGTGTGTGCCGTAGCAGCTTGGAGTGCCTCTCAGACGGCCGTTGCCGTCCAAGACCCCCCACCCGCCTTCTCACAAGGCCACCCACCTCGCGCCACCCATTTGTAAACGGGAACGCTAGAGGGGGGCCAGCTCAGGGGGAAACATCGAGCTGGAGTTGGCGATCCATCGCCGATAGATCGGCGATAGGCCTCCGACAGCCGAAACCGCACGGTCCTGGGTGGGGTGGGCTACCATGCCCCTATCGGTGATGACTGGGCGATCGGGGGTCGCACCCCTGGAACGCTCTCGGCGAGGCGCAGCCGCTGGAAGGCACCCCGAGGCTGAAAAGCCGACGGGAACTGGCGAAGACGTCCGAAGACCTCGAACCTCTGCCCCTGACTTTGCGCGTGCCACCGAAGACCCACCAGCCCCAGGACGGTGTCGAACACGGGGAGGTCGCGCGGGCGCGGGGCCTGCGGGGCGGGGAAGCCCTCGTCGTCGTCGTCGCGCAGCAGGGCGGCGGCCTCGCGCAGCGCCTGGGCGTGCGCCAGCGTCACGGGGCAGAGGCTGCCCTGGAACGTGACGAGCGCCACCCGCTGCCTCCTCCGCCGCGCAGGGGGGACACCCCGTGCACGGCGCCGCCGTGCCTGGCCGGGGCCTCCCCCAGACGAGGCCAGGACAGGAACAGCGCCGGACAGGGACACAAGTCGAGAGTCTCTGAGATCCGGCGGTTCTGGAGGATGTGCCGGGCGCCGCGGCCCTCCCAGAGCGTTGCGGAACGCCCTGGAAGGATTTATCCCTGCCCTGGCCCCGGACGGCTCCCTGGGCCCTGGCATGGGGCAGAGGCCCTGGCCGAGGCCGGCGCGGGTCCGTGCGCCACCCCGGGGCCCTTAAGATGATGGCCCTGGCCAAGCACGGTGGCGGTGGCGGTGCACGAGTGCGTTCTGCGTGCTCCTCTGGCGCTCGCCGCGGCCCGCCGCCCCAGCCAGCAGCCCCTGCAACTGGCGCGCCGCCTCCGTCGCGTCGTCCTCCTCGCCGCCGCCCATCGGGCAGCGCCCGCCGCCGCGGGGCGGGTCCAGGCTTGAGAGCTGGTGGCTGCGGGGGGCACGGCCGCTAGGCATGCGTCTCTTGTGGGCGCGAGCCGGGTCGAAGATCTAAGATCGCGAGTGTCAGCAAATGGAAGGACCTGGTGTCAGCTGAGCTGTTCTTGGAGGGTATGACAGCTCTGCTCACGCCGTGCGACCTGAATGCTCGGCTTCAGCGCTCTGAGAATCGTATGCGAGGCTGCGGGAGTTGACGTCTGGTCAACCTGCCTGGACATTCGGGGACACTCGGTAAATCCGCCGACCCTGCCGGCGTGTGTTAGGGGACTTATGGGCCGGTCGTCCCGGGGTCGTCCTGGAATGCAATCTTTGCACCGAATTCCTTCCTCCCTTCCGGGCGGCCACCTTTGGCTTCCCAAGCTCGCCAACCCGAGATGAATCGAGCCAGGTCGCTATCGAGTGGCAGGGGAGCCCCTTCCCTTTGATGCCTTCTCTGCCTCGGGAGGGGCCCTGGGTCAGAATGTGCCCCCCAGATCCGCGGGGCATCCCACCATCCCCTCAGGCCGTATGTGGGTTAGGGCGTTGCCACTTCCAACTTATTTTCCCTTTCGGGGAAGGGCTTGTCACTGTTCCTTCTCTCTGAACGCCCTCTCCCCCACTCGACCGGCGACCCTGACCACAGCAACGGCAGCTGCACTTTGCGGCAAACTATTATTTACCATGTTCGGGCGCCCCGCGATCACTTTCCTTGCTTTGTTTTTTGTATGCAAGGCCTATATTCAGGCCTGATAGGGTACAGTGAAAACGTATAGTAAGGACGCGTGGTAAGGACGCAAGAGCCTTGGAGGCCGAAGTTGAAGTATTCTGGCCTGCGAAAATTGCTAGGGACGGGCCGCAGAGGCTGAGGCAGGCAAGGACCCAAGGGTACCCTTGAAAAAGTCGTTTGTGCTCACTATGCGCGTTGACTGTAGCATGTTGCCCTACGTGTGCAGGCCCACTATCCCTGCCAAAAGCAAATGCGAAGGGCACGCTGCGGCAAAACATTGGACCATGCGCGGGCGCCCCAGGATCCCTTCGCACTGCCATCTGGCAGGGGTGCCGGGGGCGTCCTGGCACGCGCGGCGCCATTGCTTGGTAGTGCTTCGCATTGCTTTGCATGCCTCTGCGTTGCTTTGCATGCTGTTCCATTGATTTACGTGACTTTGCATTGTGCACTGATTTGCAGTTCTTTGTAGTGCTTGGCACAGCGTGGATTGAACCACATGGATTTCACCACGCAGATCGCAACACATTGATTGCACTGCGTAGATTGCAAGACATCGCTGTCAGAGGTCCACGCTTGGGGCTGGGGGAGCAGGACGCCCTCCCCTGAGGGGAGGATGAGGCGGATGAGGAGGAGGACGAGGAGGAGGAGGAAGAGCAGGAGGAGGAGGAGGAGGAGCAGGAGGAGGAAGCTCTCCCCTGAGAGAAGGATGATGGCGATGCGGTGGAGGAGGGGGAGGAGGGGAAGGTGGAGGGAGGATGAGGAGGAGGAGGAGGAGGATGAGGTGGAGGAGGATGAGAGGGAGGAGGCGGAACAAAAAGGAGACGAGCGTGCACTGGCAGTCATTGGAAAGGGCACTTCGTCCGAGCAGCAGCGGCGGCTTGCGGCAACTGCTGGGGTTTTGCGGCAGGTCGCCACCGATCTAGCGACAATGGCCCTCTCCACCTGCTGCCCTGACACTGACCCCGGGCGTGAAAGATCGGGAAAGTGGAAGAGGAGAAGGAGGAGGAAGAGGAGGAGGAGGAGGAGGAGGAGGAGGAGGAGGAGGAGGAAATGGAGGAGGAGGAGGAGAACGAGGAGGAGGAGCAGGAGGAGGAGGAGGAGCAGGAGGAGGAGGAGGAGGATGAGGAGCAGGAACAGGAGCAACAGAAGGAGGGGAAAAAGGAGGAGGAGGATGCCGATGATGCTGATGATGCTGAGGAGGAGGAGGATGAGCAGGAGGAGGAGGAGCAGGAGGAGGAGGAGGAGGAGGATGAGGAAGAGGAAGAGGATGCGAAGACGGAGGAGGAACAGGAGCAAGAGCAGCAGGAGGACGAGGTGAAGGAGGAGGCGGATGAGGAAGAGGATGAGGATGAGGATGAGGAGGAGGAGGAGGAGGAGCAGGAGCAGGAGGAGGAGGAGCAGGGGCAGGAGCAGGAGGAGGAGAAACACAAGGAGGAGGAAGAGGACGAGCAGTAAGAGGAGGAGGAGGAGGAGGAGGAGGAGGAGGAGGAGGAGGAGGAGGAGGAGGAGGAGGAGGGGAAGGAGGAGGAGGTGGAAGAGGAACAGCAAGAGCAGGAGCAGGAGCAGGAGGGATGAGGAGGAGGAGGAGGAGGACGTCTGTAAACCCCAAAACCCTGGGCTGCAACCCAAGAACTGCCACACACACAATTATTCAATTGATTTGGTACCTGCCCACCTCGGCAGCTCACTAGACTCTCTCCTAGGCATTCCTCGTACACCCCCTACCCAACCTCACGAGCAGTTTCAACATTTGGCAAGCCTGTATACGTCTACACAGGCTAAGCCTACTTGTGCCTCTCCCCCAGAGGCTTATCCATTTACATTCCCTTCCTTCTCACATTTGCAGCCAACCACGTAATGTCAAAACGGACAGGGTTTGGAGTGAGCGGGTTCATTACCTTGCGGGGGGTGGGGAGGAGCACTACTCATCTCTAAAGCTCCCTGATCTTCAGACGAGGGACACCAGCCATACCACGGGCTATTTCGCCAGAGGCTCGACCTCCACAACACTTGCCCTGTCACACCTCGCATTGCTACCCAATTTTGGTAGTCACTCGACGCCACTCTTTTATGCATGCTAACTTGCTGTTGTGCCGCCCTACAGTAGCGACACCTACCTTGTGTGCAGAGTAAATGCCTTACAGCCTCAATTGCCTAAACATTCGTGCAAGACTGTACGTACCGCCAGTCTCACTCTGACCTTAGGGACTAGCGGTGGGGTTTGGTGGAGGTGGTTGATCAGTGCGGGGGGCTTGTTGGGAATGATGTACCTGCGGTTTGGGGTCAACCTTGAACCCTGGGCAGCAACCCTAGAACTGCTACAGTTCAGTTCGCATCTATCCACTTGCATGGCTCTCTTAGCCCTCTATACTTCGGCTTGAACCTTGCAACTGAGCGGGCACTACCACTAACACTGAAAAGGCTTTTGCTGATTTTTTGTTGGGATGCATGTTTCTATTGGGCTTATCTTACTAAGGTCAGCGCCGTCATCCAAGACCTGGCGGGCGCCTTCTTGCTCTACTATTATTTTCCTGGTCTCGTTTTCCTACGTTGGCCGCGGCGCCCGCCCGGTCTTTTTTGGAGCCGGGTCGCGTACGTCTTTCGTGTGCTGCCTTTAAGAACGCCACAAGTGCTTTCCTAAGGTTGGTTCAACGTATAATGAGGATGAGGATGAGGAGGAGAAAGAGGAGGAGGACGATGACGAGGAGGAGGAGGAGGAGGAAGAGGAGGAGGAGGAGGAGGAGGAGGAAGAGGAGGACGACGAGGACGAGGACGAGGACGAGGAGGAGGAGGAGGAGGAAGAGGACGAGGACGAGGAGGAGGACGAGGACGAGGACGAGGACGAGGAGGAGGAGGAGGAGGAGGAGGAGGAGGAGGAGGAGGAGGAGGAGGGAGTAGGAGGCAGGCGGAGGCCCCTCTCTGAGAGCAAGCCAAAAGGGGGCTCGCGCTGGCCTCCCCTGCGGGTGCGGCGGAGCCCGCCGGCACCACCAGGTCCCTCGCGCCGAGCCGCGTACTGACCCAGCCCTCGGCGGCGGGGGCCGAGGGGCGAGATGCCGAAGAAGGGAAGGAGAAGATCCGGTGATCGAAATCGAATGCCGGTGCTTTTCTGTGCGTCTTGGGCCCGCTTCGGGCCTCCAGGGGGGCTCCTCGCCGCGGCTGGGCTCCCCGCGAGTGATCCCGCGTCAGTGGGGCATGCCACGTGCGATTACGTAACTCACCCCTTGTCCAGCGCGAGGCTTGTGGGGTTGTCCTGGAATTGTTCTGGGGTTGTCCCGTGGCTGTCCCGTCGTCAGCCCATGGTTTGTCCTGTGCGGTTGCCCCACAGGTGTCCCGTGCGGATGTCCCATGGTTTGCCCGTGGTCAGATACAGAGTGAAACGATCTATCAGGTAGATGACGCGTAAGCCCCAGGAAACTAGTTAAACATTGCCTATTGGTTGCAAGGGAAGCTGTAACATATTGCTGTGATGTATGCGGTGCACTCTACAAGGTGGCATCTCAGTGGTGGAGTGCATGTGGTGCGACCGACCTCTGGGGTTCAGCATGTAGGGTGCAGTTCATGTCGCCTAGTTCGTATGGCGCAGGCTATGTGGCTCAGCATGTGTGGTTTGCCAACGTACGCGCGCAGAGCTTCTGAAAACTCACGTCGGGGGCGCCTTCGGCGGAGGATGGCGGGGGCGAGTTTTTCCCAACCATCCTGTGGTGATGGGTCCTCGTTTTGAAAAGACAGCGCCCCGCGTCCTCCTCCTCCTCCTCCTCCTTCTCCTCCTTTTCCTCCTCCTCCTCTTCCTCCTCTTCCTTCTCCCCTTCCTTCTCCTCCCTCCCCTGCGTGCCTCTGCTCTCCACACGTCAGCCAGTTCGGCAAACCCCTCACACGCTTATTGGCCCCATAGGGACGTTCGGATGCGTCCGCCCCACCCACTACAGCGTTTCGTGGCCCAACAAGGAGCTCCACAAAAAGCCCCAATGGCGACGTTCGCATGCGCCCACCCCGCCCAGTACAGCGCGTCGTGGCCCCATACGGAACCCCGCCCTGCACAAGGCCCCAATGGCGACGTTCGCATGCGTCCGCCCCGCCCAGTGCAGCGTTTGGTGGGCCCCATAGGGAGCTCCACCGAAGGCCCCAATAGGCCCATAAGGAGTTCCACCGAAGGCCCTAGTATGCGTCCGCCTCACCCAGCACAACGCTGAATGGCCCAATCTGGAGCTCCACCGAAAGCCACGCTGGCGGCGTTCGCGTCCGTCTGTACCACCCGTTACAACGTTTCGTGGGCGCATAGGGGGCTCCACCGCACGCTCCCGGCGCGACGTTCGCATGCGCCCGCGCCACCCATTACGCGTTTTGTGGCCCCGCAGGGAGCTCCTTCGAAGGCCCCGGCATCCGCCCCGTCCAATGCAGGGCGTCGTTGCCCCATGGGGATCCACTGACCACCCCCGTGGCGACGTTTGCATGCGTCCACCGCACCCAGCACAGCGCTTCGAGGGCCCATGGGGAACTCCACCGAAGGCTCAAATCGCGACGTTCGCGTGCGTCCCCAATGGCGTCGTTTGCATGCGTCCGCCCCACCCATTACATCGCTTCGTAGGCCCATAAGGGGGCCCCACCGCAGGCCACAATGGCGACGTTCGCGTGCGTCCGCCCCATTCAGTACAGCGCTTCCTGGCCCCACACGGAACTCCATCGAAGCCTCCAGTGGCGGCGACGTTCGCATGCGCCCGCGCCACCCAGTGCAGCGTTTCGTGGGCCCAGATGGGAGCTCCACCCAAAACACCACTGGCGACGTTCGCATGCGTCCCGCCTCGCCTATTTTGGCACGTTGCGTGGCCCCATGGGGAGCTCCAACGAAGGCCCCTGTTGGGACGTTCGCATGCGTCCGCCCCGCCCAATGCAGCGTTTCGTGGCCCCATCGGGAGCTACACCGAAGGCACCAGTAGTGGCGTTCCCATGCGTCCACCCCCCAAGTGCGGCACACCGGCCCCGCCCCATTTCGGCACACCTCTCACACATTTCGTGGCCCCATACGGAAGGGGGTCCACCTCGGGCCCCCGCATGGCCCCGCCGCCTCCTTTTGGTAACCCTTACACGCTTCGATGCCCGCAACGACGCCTCGGAGCGCTGGCGGACGCGAGCGCGAGCCAGCGGGACGCGCCCGGCACAGGGCGCACCAGAGCAGGCGGACAAGCGGAGACGGCCGTGGAGGGGGAGGGGGGCAGGAGGCCCGAGCCGCCGGCGGGGGGAGGCAAACGTGCACGCAGCGATGCTCACCCTGGGGCTCGGGCCGCTCGGCCAGGCGGCCAAGCGCGCCGCGAGCGCCGCCCTTGCCGGGCGGCCGGCGCGGGAGCGGACGCGGCCGCCGCCCTGGCAGCGGCCGTGCAGAGAGGCACCCCCTTTGCCGCTGGGGGGCTGCCGCTCCGCGGCCGCGGGCGGTGGCCGTCGCCTCGCCCGCCTCCCCCGTCTTTCTCCGCGCGGGTCCAGGCGCGGAGCCGCGAGCGCGCCGGCGCGCGCGGGCGGCGCCGGGAGTCGGGCCGCTGCCCGCGGCGGCAGTCTGCGGTCCCAGCGCGGGCGCGGCCGCTGTGAGCAACCTTGCCTCCCCTTAGCTAGGTGCTAGGTGTTTTTGGGACCTCGCAGCCGCTTCGCGGCCCGTTGGTGTCGAGTGGGCATGCAGCCCGCTACGAAATACGCCCGTGGGGATGTGCCCACAGAGGCACGCGCCCCCGAAACGAGCGTATCAGTTTCACACGACAGGCGCGAAATAGTAGTTGGTCGTTTACGTATACATGTACGCGTATATCTATGTATGTACATACATACATACATACATACATGCATGCATGCATGCATGTATGCAAACATACATACATACGCACATACATACATAAATCCATACATATACACACGTTCATATACAAACATACATATATACATGCGTATGCATATGTCGTATACATCATGTTCATACCAATGTATGCTTATATGCGTGTGGCCATATGCATTCATGTGTGTACGGACAAGCGATGCTGCAAATGGTGGCGCATGCATACACGTCCAAACATACCCAAACCCACGTGTACGTATATGTGTAACTACGTGTGTGTGCGCTTGTGTACATACGCGGATACGTATACACATACATACGCATGTATATGTTAATGTGTGCATACCCATGCACAAAACACCACACATGGCAAGTAAGCTACATAAGCATAGCCATGCTATATGTGCGCGTGCATATTACAAGCGTGCATGCACGGTTGTATGTGTGTATATACATGCATGTGTATATGTATGTAAACGTATACATGATACACATGGCACCACCACCTGCCACCACGGGGGGGAGGCCCTGAGCCACCAACGGCCAGAGGTCGAGTCGATTCTGAGAAGCGGTGGCGTTGGCGCTCTCCCCAAACATCGATCATCAGTGCGAAGGCCCCTGAGCTCGCTCGGCCTCTTGGCCGCGATCGGGCCGGGCACGTGCCACCCTGGGGCTCTCGTGGGGCCGATGGGGTCTCTCTGGCAGGGCCCTGGGGCCTATGGTGGGCCCAGCTTTGGGGCCCGAATATCTAGGATATTATTTTCAAAGCCTTCAGATATTTTTACTTGGCCAAGCCTCAGGGCTGTGCAATCTGAATTCTCTCCCGACGAGCTTGTGCACTATAAGAGCTCTCTCGGGGATCCTACGGTGCCACGCGCACAACGCAGATAAACATTTATCCACGTCGGGGGCTCTCAGGTCTGAACCTCGGAGGCTTAGACCATATCGATCCATTCCAGCAGCATTGGTGACCAATCGGCGGTCTGGTTCCAGCCTCCTCCGGAGTCGGCGTGGAAGGTGAATTTCGCCATGGGCGTGATCTTCACGTGCCGTGCCTTGCAATCGTAGCCCTCGTAGGTGCCAGAGGGCGTCGGGAAGAGGACCGAACATTTTGGGCGGGGTGGGCCATCACGTTGCTGTTCGAGGGCATCAAACTTCACAATGATTTGGTCGGCCGTGATTTTGAACTCACCGTGCCAATTCGTACATGATTCACCGCATTGCCACATGACTTGACCACTAGCAGAATCCACATAGATGAGACCGTTCTGGAACTTCTGGGCCACGTCTTTATTGTGGTACATATACAGAACACAAGTGCGAGCAGCTGCCGCCATGGTGCCATTTCACAATGGAGCGGGCGCAGCAGTATAAACAAAAAACAGAAGCCTCGGCAAGTCGAGCCTCAAATATGCTCAGAACGTACAGGCCTCCTGGGGGCCTGGAGATAGAGGAGGCATACGGGGCCCAGAGCGCTCCGAAGGGGGCCCAAGCTGAGGACTCCGACCCACGTTGCCGTCGTCGTCGTCGTCGTCGTAGTCGTCCCCACCGCCGTCGTCGTCGTCGTCGTCATCGTCGCCGTCGTCGCTGGTGGAGGGGGGAGGAGGGAGGAGCTCTCTCTCAGAGGAGGCTGGCACGGGCACCGGCCGCACCTCCTGCTGCGGCCTCCGGGGAGTGCGTCGTCGTCGTCGTCGTCGGTTGTCGTCGTCGTCGTCCGTCGTCGGTCGTCGCCGTCGTCGTCGTCGGTCGTCGTCGTCGTCGTTGATCGTCGTCGCCGTCGTCTTCGATCGTCGTCGTCGTCGATCGCCAGTCGACAACCGTCGGCACTCCCAGGAGGCCGCAGCAGGAGGCGCGGCCCGCGCCCGTGCCCCAGCCTCCTCTGAGAGAAAGCTCCCCCTTTTCCTCCTCGTCCTCCATCCAACGACGACGACGACGACGACGATCGACGACGACGGCTGCCGGAGGCTGGGGGAGGCCCAGGATGGGACGCAAGGAAAGGGGAGGAGGAGGAGGAGGAGGATGTTCCTCTCCAGCGAAGCCACCACGGCCCCGCACGTTTGTCTGGCACCGTCCCATGACTCAACCACAGACGAGTCATCATGGTGCCACCAAGTTGCACAAAGTCTCAGCCTACTACTCTGACTCGCCGCTGTTCTGCTCGTCGTCCTCCGGATGCTCGTCTTTCAGCGTGTCCTCCTTCTTGGGCTTC